GGATCTACGGCAATAGGCATCATTCTTATCGCATCCTCTGATCTCGATTTAATTGCAAACATGATACAGATATTACACGCAGAATTAGTTTGATACACTTGATATTAATAGACACAACGATATCAGAGTCTAATTATAATCTCGGACGCACGTTCACCGTACGGCAGGAAAAAAAGAACTTTTGAGCGAGTCGAGATAGTAACACTTTGCACGCAAAGTGTTAAACGCCGCGTTAACCGTAATGTGCGTATAGAATGCGAGACAGTGATTAAACTGTGTGTAACGTTATCTCATGTAATATTTATCAGTATTGATATTTTGATCACGTCGATTCAAACTGTCGTATAAAGTTTTACGATTTAACGTGTAAATAAATACACAGTGCAATTATGAACTAATAATGCGATTCTCTGTGATATCGCCGTTTAATATTATAAAGAATTAATGATATATTTAGGAAAATTTACGGAAAATATTATCAATTAATAACGATATATCAAGATTACTTTCTAATACGCACACCGTAATTGTCTAGGAACCGTCTAAATAGCAGGTCGCACTACCGCAATAAATTTAACGCGGACAATTTCGGGAATGCTTCAATCACTTGTCAGTCGGATGCAATTATGCAGTTATCGCGCGATCTGCGGTTTTCTAATAATCACCAGTCAGTGTCAGTAAGAGAGATATATTTCGCACTCTCGGCATTCTGCGTGATTGACAGAAGCGCATTTCCGTACTTCGAATTATTAGCGACACTGGGAACGAAAATAATCGAGTCTATGAAATTAAGGAGAAACGGCCCTCTCCGTCAATCGATATCACGCCAATACCGCTTCCATCGAAGTTTTGTAATCTTATTTTCCGTGACAAACAATCATTGCAGGAATAAAAGAAAAATTTCAGTTAAGCCTCCCCGAATGTCAGCGTAACGACACCGGAGAGAGACGAATAAAGGTAAAACAGATTCCGTCTCAATTTCGAAGAAGCGGATTACGTATTTCCGGATTGCGACATTTTCTCGGTATCTTAAATTTAACTTGAATGTTTCGAAGCTACTCCATTATTCATTATATATATTTTTATCATATATATCGTGTATTATTATCTCTCAAAATTATTCTGTTATTTATTAGATATTATAAACTCCAAAAGAAAACATTATTTCAGCATCAATGAAAGTTACGTGTGCATTCGATATATCATATAGGCGGCACGTGCGTTTTAACATTTAAAGCATAATAACGTGAACCTTTTAGAATATGGAATAACAATTACGATTGATCTCGTTCGCATCTTCTAAATGGGTATCGTGTCTTTTATATGTATACTATACATATATGTGCAAATATGAATATGTTGTTGTTAGAATACCATAAGTGACATAATGATTACATATCGCTTTTTGTATACAGAAATAATTAGGTTAATTAATGTGGCTGCAGGAAACATTATTTTCGTGTGACGTAAATCAATCAAAATCAAACAAATATCAGAAATTTGTTGGAAACTTGCAACAAAAATCTAATATAACTTTAGCTGTAATTACGCACCTGCTTTTCTAGCATATAATTATATATCTAGCATTTGTATTTAATTTGTATTGATATAATCGAAACTTCTTTCGTTAGTTTTTGTAACATATTTAACTCTTTCATCTAAATGTACTACATTATATAAGTGTACCATAAAAATATTATCATATTATCATTATACGAGAAAGATTTTTCAAAGTATTGTGAAAAGAAAAGTTTCTCTTGAATTGTTATTGTAACTTTGAAGAAAAAGATCCATAATGTTTCATTTTACACCGTATAAATATGTCAAAGACAGAGATCTCTTTACAATTTCGCATAATAATTTTCAAAATTTATCTAAAATTAGCTTCATATATGCAATCTTTCCAATTCGTAAAACAAGAAAACCTTCAATTTTATATATAGGGGAGATCGGAGCGGAGTCGTCGCTACAATTATCTCAAAATTTGTATGTTGTATGAACTCGTCATTAATATTGTAAACGCTACTTATGGTGCCATGCCCATGTGACCAACGGAGTTTAGTGAGATTATATGCCATGTTGTGATTTTCATTAAGGCAAACGTGTTTTCTCGGAGGTCAAAAGTAAAATTTTTTGCGGGTCGAAAATTTTCAATATTTTAAATATTATTTTCTCTCCGAATCTCGAGACAAATGATTCTGAAGAGTAATGCATGATGAACACGAATCCAGTAAAAATGTTTTATTTTCGTTGATTTCTAATATTTCATGAGCGATTAAACTTAAAATCTGTGTCCGGGGCGAAGTCGTCACCAAGCCATATCATGGAAGCTTCGGGCGAAAATCAAAGTCAAAGAAGCAGTAGTGGTCGGATCCCAACGAGGACTTGGATAATATGTGCTGCGTGTGCTCAGAGATGACAGAATAGAGCTGACGAAAAACAGTGCATTTCGTGCGAGCGTAGGGCACATAAGTGTGTGCGCTTTTCTTGTAATTATTTTCCGCCATCGTGTTTTTAATTAATGTTTCCACTTTTCTATTAAAAAATAATTAATAAAATGTATCGTATGATTTTTCATGATCGGAATTATGATTTTTCATTTAAAATTCAGTCCGAGAATGAAGTGACGACTCCGTCCCGGCAATTTTGACATTTTAATTTTTGCACCTTTGTCGTTTTCACTCTATACCCAGTTGAACAAAACGACGTAGACCAAAAATGTTCTCATAAATTTTGTAGCCAAGGGTTCACTCTTTACAACGGTATACCACATTTTACTAAAATTATTTGTTTTGTTGTTAAAAATCGGCACCGAAAAAATAGTGACGACTTTGCCTCGATCTCCGCTACGCGAGACGTATTTTAGATTATCAATCCACTGTATTCAGAAAATTGTTATATGATCTTTTTTATGTAATTAAAGTGTAACACGTCTTTTCCACGCGTTAATGCCAAAAATGGCCTTCTTTCGAGATCGTCATTATCACGTCATTATCACGTGCCCTTCCCATAACGAATTTTTTCTTCGCTCAGCAGCCTGCTTCTTCTTTTTCGCGTGCAAGATTCAAAATCGATTGGCACAAAAACGCACTCTGCCCACGAAGCGTTGGGTTGAAAGGTCCTCAATCATTCGGGGTTTTGCGAGCAAATCGATCGCCGACCAGTCTTACGAAAACGTAGAACTATTAATTTACAACATCTTGCGCTGATCCGATATAGGCTAAAGTCTCGTCTGCAGCATAAATTGGAGATTATGCAACGTTTGAGTTTCAATCACTATATAGCTGATAACCCTGCGAGATTAAGCATGAGTGGAAAAAAACGCGTTTGATACTGAGATACTGATAACGCAACCGGCGACTCGGAATATAACAAAACTCGTTGTCACTCGCTGTTGGCGTCCGCACTATGCGAGTTATAGCGTTATTACGCTAGCACTGAATGTTGTCACAACAGCTAGTTTTCCCATAATGCAAAGTTTCTACATTTGTATAAAGTCCGGGGGCGCGTATTGTTTCGCCTTTGTACACCCCGCGGTAAGGCACTCTTTCGCGACAGGTCAAAGAAACTTCAACGTGGAGAAGCTCGCAGTGCTCGTGACGTCTCTGACGACCTTGAGTACGACTCTCTTCCTCCGCTTATGAATCGCGCTTCTTTGTACGAGACACCATTACCAGAATAAACATTAGTCAGCTAGCGCGCGCTGACTCGCGCGTAAAGATGATCGAAATCCAGCCAGTTGGAAGTTGGTCTTGAGTAAACTTTATTTCTCCAAAGCGCATATAATCTTTTGCTTACATAACGCTTATATAATTTGAATACGAACCATCTGTATCGCTGCTATTTAATGTCAAACATATATAGTTTAGATCGTGGAGATAGAGGAAATGAGATACACTTTGCAAAATGGATTAAGTAAAATAGAAAGACCTACGCTTGTAATCGTATATAAAATCCTACGAGTCTAACGAGGAAAAAGAAAGTGTTTTGAGGGGGCCGTTAGCGTAACAATCGATATATCTCGATATCTCTCCCTTGGCCTACATGTGAGAGGTAAGCGGGTCATGTGTCTTAAACTATGATTGATGCGATTCAAAATGCACTTGGGATTATCATGTCATTTCATTCAAATATCAATTTCTCCTCGAAAACTCGCGCTTGCAAAGTGCCAAGTTTGTGCAAAGCTTACTAATAGTTACATGTATTCCTCATGCACTCTTACGTAATGCCGTTAAATGTGTGCTTCCTGTAATAAGACTTATTCTAATATTATTTGTGGATTTCGGATTCGGCGTATCGATTTATCAATTTATCTATTAACCGTAAAATAGAACGTACGAAAGAGAAACCGAGAACTACCGCGGGGCTAAATCAGGCGCAGTTTGGCCATCCATTTGTCATACAAGTTCCGTGATTTGGTCAAGGTCGCGTCTCTTGACCACGTTGTGCTCAAGGTCTATCGGTTAGTCGCTACTCATCTCGAAATGCAAAATGAAAAAACCACAAGGGAAAAAAAGTAAACGTGGCAATGTCCGTCTACGAGACAAAACACCGCCTACGAGCGAGTCGTGCGAGTAGGTGAAGTCACGCGACGCTATGCTCCTCCATGAAATATAAAGTCACGGTAGCGTATAAGGGGTAGAGGGAAGACCTGTGCAAATACATGTACGTAAGGGGGCAGAAAGGATGAGAAGAGAGACAGGGAAATCGGGGGAAAGTATATAGAGAAAGGGTAGAGGGAAATAGAGAGACAGATAGATAGAGAGGGAAAACGCGTGTAGACAGAGAGGCGGCGGTACAGCAGTGACATGTATCTATGATGGAAAGGGGTTGATGGATGAAAAGAGATGACGCGACACACGGGGATAGAATGAGAGGGAAATCATAGAACAAGACAGACTGATCGATCGGTGTAAAAGTAGACAAAGACAGGGTCAGACGTTTTTCCTAGATCGGCGGTATACGGTATACGGCTCGCGGCGTATACATTCCGTACATAC